CAGTTTGTAGCTTTTGAGTTGCAAAGTAATCCATGGCAGGGCTTTGTGCCTGGCGGTTGGAGCGTGTGGTATCATTGTTTTTAAAGGAGGACAGAATAGCTGTAGAGCCCCGCCGAGGAATTTAAGCCTTTTAGTTTTTGATATGTTTAGGATTTGGATAAAAGCTTGTAAAAATAATGCTTATTTTCAATTTGTCCCCAAGAAGAACTGATTGCAAAAATGCGATTTTGTTCTAGTACGGTTTTGCTCTTGTGGCTTTACTGATGCACTGCTGTTGAATACAATTCAAGAAATATTTAAATTCAGGACTTTGCTATGAGGATAAACTTTACAACAACATAGAATAGAGAAAATATGATGTGGTATATGATCACCTGATTATTTGTTCTTTTTTTTTAAATAATGTTTTTTAATCCATTCTAAATTATTATTCATTGTGCAATCCCGTATATCTGAAGGATAATAAAACCTTGAACCATATTCGTGCCTAATATTAGACAGCTAACATAATGCTAGTTTGCACAACACACCAGGTACAGCTAGGGTTGATGGAAATGGCAATACTCATGTAATAAAATGTAACTTACATTTTGATCTGATGATGGAGGGAGTGGAAAACTCAGGGGATATTTTTGTAGACCAACTCTGCAGTTAGCATCACACCGGTTCCCTCGACAAAAAGCTAATGGATTTTTTGTATTAATGCAGAAAATAAGCTCTGTATGATACTTGGACATTTTGTTTAAAAAGATAACCTTTACAATTGAACACCGCTTCTCTGATTTTTTAATGCAATTGCCAGAAATAAAAAGCTAATGTTGGATTATGAACAAACTAGGCAGTCTATAGTCTCTTTTGAGACACATACAAGTGGGGGTATTCACTAATGTACTTTATTTGTAAAAAAAAAAAAAAGGTTAAGCAAAGAGGGAACAATGAGTGCAAAAATGCTGACTTATTTTGTAGTTTCTGGACTCGTTTCTTCAACCCTTTATGAGTTAACCAACAGACTGACATGTTTAAGTTGAACCTTTGTCCGGTAAGACTCTGATCTGTGACAGTAACACACAGATCACCGGGTCACAGACTTTCATGTTGGTGTTAAACATTCACTTCCAGAAATCCCCTTACTTAACACAAGTCATGTTTCTGGTGTGGCATCTGGTGTTAGTGTTGCCAACACCTGTGAACGTATGCATAAGCGCACACACACAAGAAACCCACACACACCCTGCGTATGCATCTCCACCGGAAAAATAAAACATCCCCATTGTGCTGAAGCATAAGATTCCTGCTTTATTTCAGGAACCAGACTTTTGGTGTGATGCCAGAGGGGCGTTACATCTGAAAAAAGTTGCAGAGTGGAGGTTGTAAATCCACTACATGCAATGTCAGCAGAGATGTAATGGGAAACAAAAAGGTGGCTAATTTATTAGCAGCGCAGTTCTGATGATCATGAACTAAAGCTTACAAATAAAAACCAGATACTGTAAAAATACTCTGGACAATAAAAACTCCTGCAGTACATTCAACAAAAAGTACAGAAAAGTACCTGCAAGATCTACTTTCAAGCTATATTGAAAATACCTATTATGTAGAATTTCCCCTTGCAGAATGGTAAATGGTAAAGATTATTTCGTGACTTAAGGGTCCCTCCTTTTACTATTTATTTATAATACATTTGTAAGAGTATATGGGGTCTTTCATCTCCAACAATGCTTCATTTGAAAAGTTGAGTATATGTTTTGAATGTAAAATAAATGAATCAATCATTTAGAGGAGTTAAACATACAATATTTACCTCCACAGAAAGTAACATACATTGATAACGCTTTTGTTACTATCTGGCACTGATGCAAGGAGAACTAAGCATCTTTCAAGTGGACCAAAAGCTTTTGTGGAGCTTTTTCTTCAATTAGTTAGTTTAGAATTGTCCCTGCAGATGGAGGCTGAAGAGTTTTCAAAGGCTGAAACCCAGCAGTGTGTTGTAGAGACTGTAATGTCTGATGGTAAAAACACCTGTTGAACCATGACAAGCCAAACTGAGCTAAAGGCCAGCTGTGTGTCAGACAAGAAAACCATTTATTTTTGACTGGTTTTGTTTGTATTTAGAGGTTTCCAAAGACATAATAATACCATAACAATCGTATTTAATACATGTACATTTTAGAATTCCAGATAATTACACTTTTGAAGCTTGAAAGTTGTGCATTACAACACATTAAAGTGTCACTAGCTTTGACTTAGACCAACGGCAAACCAATGACTACATTAAAATATGCTGGTCAACAGCACCTAACACTACCTTTCCATTTTGCAACGACTTTGTCTATACTAAAGAAATAATGTTGATTGACAGATATTTTTTAGAATGTTTAAAATAATTCCCTAGTAATGACCTCGGCTTCAATGTAGTAACTCCTGTGATCTTATGATTTTAGTATTTTGGTGATTGGGCATTTATGTCTTCGCTGCACCTTTCTGTTGGATCTCTCTCTAATCTATCGAACACACCTCAGAAATGTGTATGAGATGAAGACAGGTCATTATGGGGTGTGAATTAAACTATCTGAGGTGCTCAAGCTGAATCTACAGTAGAGCGCTGACAAGACTAAACCTGGCGTGTTCTCTCAGGTAAACCTCTAGTCAGACGTGGGAGCTGAAAGATGATCCATCTGCGTGCTTCAATCTCTTCAGCCTGGATTGAGGAGTGTCTGCTTTCCACTGAGGACAGAACGTTTCTGTGGGAAATGGCCTCACTACCAGTAGCGAGTGAAACTTGAGAGTTAACCACTTACAGCACCAGAGAGATCAGGTATTCCCCAGCCTTGTTAAAAAGTCCTCAGGGACAGTGGAGGGGACACACAAAGAATGAGCGAGACATATGTCACCATGCTGCTCAATGAGATGTTGACTCACAAGGTCTAATAACAGAAAAGGGGAGTGTTTAGGTGACATCTGTTGATGACTCCTTTACACTGACACACAGATATAGCTATGAAGCATGGTGATCATAGGTGGGTTACTGAATAGGATTACTGGTCACAGGCATTGAGAGGTCACTGAGCTGCAGGAGTACAACAAAGAGACAACTAGACACCCACATAGAGACATAACAAGACCAATGAAAGTTGCAGAATTACACCAAATGTATGCAAAACCACCAACAAAGACACAAAAGAAATACAAATGATGCTAACTTAATAAAAAGACACACATACCCACAGAGATGCAAAATGAACACAGTCACAAAATACATTTGAAGAATGAATGCAAAGAGATGCAAAATGACCACAGATACATGTAAAACAAAATGATACCAGTAGGTACAATGGCCACAAAGTACTGTCAAAGTCCCATATGGACAAACAATTATAGAGACCCCAAAAAAGGCAAACAGACACACCATGGTGACACAGAGACGAAAAGTTTACTCAACAAGAAGCAAAATGGATCCAAGTGGCAAAACAACCACACGGATATGTAAAGCAATCACACAAACATATAAAACGAATATCGTGCAAAATTCCAACACAAGGAGAGGCAAAAGACCAAAGAGAGCGGAAAATAATCACACAATGACCAAAAAGAAGCACAAAACAAATGCAGTCTAGTTGTCGAAGGGGTGTGAGCCTTTGACCTGTTTGTACTCAGGAGTCAGTCTCATAATCCAGTCCTGATCGTGATACACACAACACAGATTGTCATTCATTACCTCTGACTTTATTGTCCATGAAAAAAACAGCTTGCCCTCGACACAGTTAACATGTCTGCAGGTTCGCATGACTGAATGTGTGGCGTCTGCGAGGCAGCACTAGTGTATATAGTTTACATTTAAAGAGCCAAACTTTGCAGGCCCCTGCGACCTCCGACCTTTGCACTCGTCACGTATCTCACGCTCATCTCGTCTTCCGGACAATCCCCGGGGATTCATCCACAGACGGGCTGACAGCTCGACGTGTTCTCAGAGCTGCTGAGGGACGCTGAGCTGACAGCGAGTGTTTTGTTAAGGGAACGTCTCCTGTTAAAAAAAAACACCACATTTGTTCTTTCTGCGCCTCAGGAGGATTCAGTCGATACTTGTGAACATGCACCAGGCTGAAAGCTAGACACCAGACCACTAACCCTTTGCTCCAACGTCACTCAGATGTCAAATCTGGCACTGCCGTGTTGATGATGAATGGAGGCCAATGTTTGTTTACTCATGAGGTTTTTATTTTTCCTGCACCCAAAATGACGTTTAAACCTTTGTTTTTTTTAATGTTTTTCCCATGGCGAAGTTCAGCAGAAGCACAAGAAAGAGATTGATGGAACAGATTATTTATGCTTTCGCTCTCTCTTTTGCTTTTTCCAATCAAAGGTCACCATATCAATAGGATTATGGTTATGTTTTCTCTCAATACTTTAAACGCTACACTTTGTACGCTCTCAGCTTAAAATGGCACTAAGGGATAACAGCTTGTGAAATTAAATTTAATACCAACAGATACTGTAAAACTGCAAACTTCACGTTCACCTAATCAGCGCTGTTGCAATGCTTCAAGCCGGGGATATACTTTTAAATGGAGAGTTGTGTTGAAATATTTGCTTTCTAAAGCTAGATGAGACTGTTGGGCGATTAGCCTAGCTGAGCATAACGACTGGAATCGGCATCCTCACAAGTAAAACAAAACTACAGAAACACAACTCTTGAAATAACTGATTCACAGGTTATTTCTTATTTGGGTAATCGACACACAAACGGTAACAGTTGTGACCAGCATTCAGAAAGAAACACCAAACTACAACAAAGAGAAACAGAGAAATCATGAGATGTGAAAAAAACACAAATAAATGCAACACAACCAAAAAAGACAGAAAATAACCTCAAAGAGGGATAAACAACCACGATGAGAAAAAAAGCAACATGTTAGGGTCTAAAAAAACCCCAGAGAGATGCTAAATAAACAGGAAGAAACAAAAAGGAGAGACATATTTTTAAGAGAGAGAAACGAGTCCTTAAACGCGGTATCACTTTTTTACCTCTTCCGGTTCTCTCATCTCGAATTGAACGTGTTTGTGGTTAGAAGTCTGAAATAAGGTCTATAGTTATCACAATCTGAAGACATTTTCATTACGACATGAAATAATGTCTGTAATTACCCAACTGGTCAATGTCCGGAGCTTCATAATAACGGTGGCTGCTAACAAGTGACTTAATGAGACTGACACAAGACCGCCTTTAGCTTAGCGGTGGTGATGCGCAGCCATGCGACCGTGATGTTGTTTGTTTCATAGCCTTTTACTTCTGTTTAAATTCACGCTTCAAAAATCGCATTGTCATGAATGTGTGTTTGCCACCAAGCTTATTTTCTGCAATATTTCGAAATCCAATGGGGAAATCCCATTGCTTTTTGGAGAGGAATCCCATAGCGATGCTAATTTATGGGTCAGTTTACAAAATGCGTCACCAATGCACTAATCTATTGGGATGACGATACATTTTATGTTAATTGATGTGAATGTTGATTCACAGTTTTAATTTATACACATTAAACTATTGCTAGTTACACTGTGTTGCTTAAATAAAGCAAGGCAGACACCTGAACTAACTTTTCCTGTGATACAGCTAGCTGTGACAGATGATCATAGTGTCGTTGCTGTTAATGACAGTCTGATCATAGTGAAAGCTTCAGCGGGACGCACAGGTCTTTTGGTTCCTTTCAGACAATAACTGTACAGACAAGCATTACCTCATCATGGAGCCTTTGGTCCAGTGCTTACAGACTGCCACTTACTCCAGGAGACATTACATGTGAGCAGTTCATCATTTAACAAGAGGCTAGCCAACCCGTCAGTTAAAGATTTACTGAGTCTAGGTTTTTGTCATCAGGGATTCAACATGGAGCAAGATGTGTGTGGAAACAGCAGCGAGCCCTGTGGGGTAACTGATGGAAATATTTTCTGTTAGAGGACGGTCAGGAGATGAAAAAAGATTATCAAAAGGCTCATGTCTTTTTTCTTTATTTGTTGTGGTCCACACAAAAAGCTCTTGAAATACTGACATGAACTGGACCTGTTGGGTCGCACTAACTATTCTTAAATCCATTTCTAAGTTTGTGTGAAAGTGCTCAGGGCTACTTTCAGGAAAAATCAGGTCGCACCGTTAAACCTTTGAACTGTCTTCAAGACAGCCTAATGTGTAAATTGTGGGCTAGGAAATGTCTATAGCTACTTCCAAGCAAAAATAATCATCAATGTATGACTGTCATTCATGATTTTATACATTTGGGATTATTTCTCCAATCAATTGTGTCAGAAGGTACTCGAAAAATATCCATCACAGTTTCTCAGTGTCAAGGTTAATGTATTTTTTGTTTGTAGATAAAAAGTTTAATTGTGTAGATGACTGCGAATCCATCCTGACATTATTTGGTCGTGTAGGCTAATCTAATTGGTTTAATGTTTTGTAATTTGGGATATGTTTGGGTTATTTCGTGAAATGTAATTTAAATGTTTTAGCTCACATTGCAATCTGACGTGTGGTAGACTTAATCTAAATCACCAGTGATAGCGTTCTTTGGCCCACAACTTAGACTTACACTTTTTAGTAAAGGAGGCTTCTGGTAAAACATTTATAAGACCCTTACAACCAAGGATGACCAATAAAATCATCCTAAGAATCATTACAAATAAAACAATACACAGAATTTGAGAAAACACCAAAAAGTCAGAGAGGGCTTCACTGAAAGGCCGATATTAGGATGAGTTTTATAGCTGGGTCTGAGGAGATGTATTGATAATGGTCAGCGGCAGGAAAGGAAGCAGCGGTGTGTTCAGGAGCCTCCGTCTCCGTCTGACCTCGGAGACTGTCTGTGGCTCCACCTGAAATAGCAAAAAGCAGCCATTAGCTTTACAGCTACACTGTGAGGAGCCTGTCCAAACACAGACAGAGGTTCATCTCCGTCATCAGCTGACACATGTCGGCTCCGGTAGTAGTTTCAGTGAAAGTGGAGACGTAGTATCTGTGATAGACAACTGTACTGTAAGAATTTCATTTCTATTATAAAACAAAACATGTTCAGGGTATGGCTGTATAATTAGTACAAAATAAAATGATCAAACTGTTCAAAACTCTTAAACTGACCATAACCTGCCTTAAATGGTTTTAATGTGTATCGTACCGACCGGCCTAATAAAGGTGGTGGCGTTGCCATTTATGTTAAGAATAAGTTCAGTTTAACCACATTAGTTTCCAAATCGATCAGTAAGCAATTTGAATTTTTAGCCATAAATATAGAAGTGGCAAAGGGTCAACAGGTCATGGTAGTGAGTTGTTACAGACCCCCCTCAGCTGTCAAAGACTCCTTGTCTTCACTAGCAAATCTTTTATCACAACTAGACTACAATGAAATAGTGCTACTTGGAGATTATAACTGGGACTGGTTAACTGCAGTGTCAGAGGATTTTAAAAACCTTTGTATCTCTTTAAATGTTACTCAGATTGTTGACAGTCCTACTCGCCCTAACATTAAGTCCCCTAATAAATCCTCCCTAATTGATCTAATTTTAACTAATGTTCCCCATAAATATTCATCTGTGGGAGTATTTGCAAATGATCTGAGTGACCACTGTGTTGTAGCCACAATTAGGGACACTAAGGTCCAAAAGGTTAAACCTCGCATTATCATTAAGAGAGACAAAAAACATTTTGTTGAGCAGGGTTTTGTGCATGATCCGTTTGATTTTGATTGGGGTAAAATCGATCTGTGTGCTGATGTAGAAACCGCATGGTCTTATTTTTATCTTGCTTTTATGGAGATCATTGATAGACATGCACCCCTGCGTACATTTAGAGTAAAGGGACGAGACAATCCTTGGTTTTCTGCTAATCTGTCCAGTCTCCTTCATGAGAGAAACAAGGCCTGGGCAAAGGCTAGGAAATCAGGCTCAGAGGTAGAATGGCTGCGTTTTAGGCAGCTAAGAAATAGCTTCACTTCACATATCAAAAGTGCTAAATCAAAGTACTATCTGTCAGTAACCACAAAGAATCTGAATAATCCTGGAAAATGTTGGAAAGCCATTCAATCGTTATCCACCGGCGATATCCGTAATGAGCTATCTCCGTGCATTACCACAGCATCTGGCTCTATATCGGACAGGGCTACTATGCTAAATTGCTTTAATGAGCATTTTGTGTCCTGTGGTTCTCTATTTGATTCTGTCACTAACTCTGCTTCTGTGAACACTATAGTATGTGACTCTGAAAAACGTGTGTTGGAAAACCCTTTTAGTTTTACCCCTTTTACTGTTGATGTTGTTCGTGAAGCTTTAACCAAGTTAGATCCTAAGAAACCGGCTGGACCGGACAACGTAGAACCTTTCTTTTTAAAGATAGCTGCAGATTGTATTGCTCCACTTCTCACTACTCTTTTTAACCTCTCCCTCAGCACTAACACAATTCCAAAATTGTGGAAGTCAGCATATGTTCTGCCTTTGCTAAAAGGAGGGGAGGCCACCTTATTAAATAACTATAGGCTAATCTCTAAGTTGTCAGTTCTGGCTAAGGTTCTTGAATGCCTAGTGAGTGAACAGGTAAAGGTGTTTTTATGTACAAATGACATCCTGTCTAAACATCAGTCAGGCTTCAGAAAGCAACACAGCACCATCACTGCCACAATGAAAGTGGTGAATGATGTGGCGAGTATTTTAGATAATAAGCAGAGTTGTGCAGCTCTATTTATTGACCTTTCAAAAGCGTTTGACACCATCGATCATCGCATCATAAAGCAGAGGCTAGCCAGTATAGGCATGTCCAGCCATGCAGTAGGGTGGTTTGTAAACTACCTCTCTGAAAGGTCCCAATGTGTTCATTTTGATGGGCTGTCTTCTGAGTGGTTAAACATTGCTAATGGTGTTCCTCAAGGTTCTGTTTTAGGTCCACTTTTATTCTCCATCTACATCAACAGTTTAGGTGAAAATGTGGAAGAAGCTACTTTACATTTTTATGCGGATGATACCATGATGTACTGTGCAGGTCCCTCCATTAAGGAGGCTGGTGTTAAATTACAGGATGTTTTTAACATTATTCAGACTCAGCTCTCTGAACTAAAGCTTCTTTTAAATGTTGAGAAAACCAAGGTAATGCTCTTTTCTAAAGCTAAAAAGACACCAGAGCCTGTTTTAGATATTGTAACTACGCAAGGAATAAAACTTGAAGTACCTGTTACAAATACCTTGGTATCTGGCTTGATGATTGTCTCACTTTTAAACTTCATGTCAATAACCTGCTTAAAAAGCTGAGGGTTAGGCTAGGTTTCTTCTACAGGAACAAGTCCTGTTTCTCGCTTGAGGCCAGGAAAAGGCTAGTCACTGTGACCTTTTTACCTGTGCTGGACTATGGTGATTTGATGTATATGAATGCACCTGCCAATTGCCTGGTCAAGTTAGATGCTGCGTATCACAGTGCACTGAGATTTGTGACAAACTGTAAAGCATTAACCCATCACTGTACCCTGTATGCAAGGGCTGGTTTGCTTTCACTAACTGTACGGAGGCTCAGTCACTGGTACATTTTTATTTACAAAGCCATGTTAGGGAAACTTCAATCTCATATCTGCTCCCTGATCTCACGGAGAATTGTAAGTGGCTACTGCCTGAGATCGAATGCTGTGGTTTTATTAAATGTGCCAACTGCTAGGACTGTCTTAGGGAAGACAGCTTTTAGATGCGCAGCTCCTCTGTCTTGGAATAGTCTGCAAATTAAATGGAAACTGAACAATCTGGTGCCACTACATGTTTTTAAAGCTCGGTTGGATGCTAGTCAATCGGAAGCTATTGGTACCTGTACATGTGGATAATTATGTAAATGATGCTGTATGATGTCCTTTTGTTGTTCTATTTATGTTTTTATGTTTCATGTGGAACTACTTGAGCAGGTCTCCCTTGAAAAAGAGATCAATGATCTCAATGGGATTTATCTGTATAAATAAAGGTTTGAAATGAAAAAATAACCTGTAGTAAAGCAGTATAGGTACGTTGTGTGGGATGATTTTCTTTAGTTTTTCATTTTAAAATTTTTTATTTTATTTTTGGGAGTGATCCTTTAACAGTAATATATACAATTACCTAATTTTGGATTTCAAATATTTCTATACCATTCCTGCTACCTTAAATACCTTAATTTAGGGCATTTTTTTAAATATAAATGAGGATCCTTTTATTTTATAATAGAACTAGAAACATATTATTTAACAATATTATCAACATCACACCTTGCCACTGCAACATTATCATTTGTCAAATCAGTAAACTTTCCTTATATATAATTATTGTTGTTTTCAATGTTTTAATTACTAAAATGCCTCCACGAGATTCCTTTATATGATTTTTTTTTAATGTATCTGTGATTACAGCTAATGAGATGCTAACATCTGTTGAGAGTAGTCTGCAATCTTCAATTTTCACACCAATCTGTTAAAAACCCTCCTGTGACTCACAAGGTTTACTCTGACAAAGGCAGGATAATGACTAGTTAATGAGCTTTCCTCGTTGAGTAAACAAATGTATCTCTGAGCAAGAAGCACAAAAACTAGAATAAAAAAAGACAAAGAAAGAATCGGAGAAATAAGATGGATAAAGAATAAATTCTCCATCCTATTTCTTCTGGATGGCGCCATTAGGCAAACGGAGCTGAATTGTCACTGTGCAGCCAAGTGATAATTGTTTCTACGATTTGCATTGGAAATGTAATTCCATCCCATGGAAGACGGCGGGATAATAACATGCAAATGAGCTCATCAGAGTGAGAGAAGAAGTAAAACCCATGATGAGAAACAGATAGCAGACATTTTCTTTTCGGCACTGCAGATCATTTGGAAGACTGATGAGTTTATTTTAGTGCTGCGGATGGAGACAAAAGAGAGTTCCCATCCAAATTCTAATATATAAACATTTTTGGAATAAGTAAATAAGTAATTAAGTCGTTTTTTCACTGTTCTTCACTTTTCTTTTTAAAATTACATCCCCAAAATATGTCTGCTTTATGAGAAAAGGGCGATGCATTTTGACAGTAATGTTTTTACCCGCGCATAACCTCATCACATAGACTATATTTGTATTAGATGGTAGATGTAATGTTGGAAAGAGCTTGGTGTGTTTACTCTTTTCCCATACTTTTTTGCCTAGGGAGCTTGAACATGAAGATAACATTTCGACTGCTTATTTCTTTTTTTCTGTTTCAGTCACACACCAGTGTTTTATTTACTTTTTCTTGCAAAATAAATGAATGCAAATGGAAATCTTTTCAGAGAGATGTTGGTATGAAGTTCAGCTGTGAGCATTTGCTAGTTGGTGGAGCTTGCAGTTTATGGTGCTGTTGAATTATATTGTTTTAAATACTCACAGGTGTTTGCATGGTTAACTCATATGATATGAGTTAGACACACCTCTCAGTATGATGCCCTGTTATGCAAATGTTCAGGCTCATATTTGTATTGTGTCCCTCTAATTTGACATTTTAGCAGGCTTTAATGTTCAAAAAGCTCTTTATTTGTCTCATACTGCTTGTGCTGCAGCACCTCTTTTCACCCTCTGTCTGAAACCAGAGCCCAGTCTGCTCTGATTGGTTAGCTGGCCAGCTCTGTTGTGATTGGCTTAGAGATGTCCCGCCCCTTAGCCTATCAAGTACGATGTGTTGGAGTGCTAGCCAATACATGAACATTCATTTGCAGAACATTCACATGCACAAAAACCTATACAACACACTACAGGAAAGGGGAAACCCAAGAAGCATCATTAAAATGGTATTTTTGACTGTATTAGATTGTATTACCTTTATCTATGTGTACCGAAAAGCATGGCAACCACTTGTATATTCCCTTGCT